GTACCATCAAATTTCTGTGGATAGAAACTCTATCCCGTACACGGCATTTGTTACGTCTGAAGGACATTACGAATATGTTCGTATGCCGTTCGGGCTATGTAATGCTCCTTCGGTTTTCCAACAATTTATGAACGAAGTATTAAAACCATTCAGGGAATACAACGTAATACCCTATTTAGATGACATCCTAATCCTATCTAAAACCGTGGAAGACGGATTAAATATGCTAAAAAAGGTATTAGACACTCTAAAGGAATATGGATTAACAATTAAAATTAATAAATCCTCTTTTCTGGCAAAAAGAATTCATTACCTAGGGTACGAAATATCACATAATGAAATATCACCGTCCAAATCTAAAAGTGAATCAGTGTTAAACTTTCCATGTCCAAAAACAGTACATCAGTTAAGACAATTTTTGGGAATCGTAGGTTATTTTCGCAAGTTCATTAAGGACTTTGCACGTCAAACGGCCCCACTAACATCACTCTTAAAGAAAGACGTAACCTGGAAATGAACTCAAACACATACCCAAATAGTCGATAAATCAAAACAAACTATTTGCTCCAAACCGATTTTAGCTATATTTAATCCCTCTTTACCTGCGATCTTATATACAGATGCCAGTCGTGAGGGTTATGCTGGAATTTTAATTCAAAAATTTGATTTTAAAGAAAAACCTATTGCTTTCTTGAGCAAGCAAACGACAGATCCAGAAAAAAAATATCACTCTTTTGAGTTAGAATTGTTAGCAATCGTGAAAACGTTAGAAAGATTTCGATATTACTTAATGGGCATTAAATTTACAATCATAACCGACTGCATAGCGGTCAAAAATGCGCTCCTTAAACAAACAATTATCTCAAGAATAGCGCGTTGGGTGCTATTCTTACAAGATTTTTCGTATAATATTGAACATAAAGCCGGGCACAAATTCAACATGTAGATGCCTTAAGCAGAAATTTTCCAGAAACAGTTAAACAGACGCCGAATACCGTACTCTTAATAAACGAGGTAGAATATTTACGCGAAGCACAAGATCAAGATGCTAGTATTAGGGAAGTTAAAGATGTGTTGCTTACTGGAGATCGGCAAAACAACAAAAAACTATTTAACGATTACGAAATTCGCGGAAATAAATTGTATAAAATCACTGATTTTGGTCGTAAATTAGTTATTCCAAAAAAATGTAGGTGGCAAATCATCAAAGCCAATCATGATGAAATAGGTCATTTTGCTTTCGACAAAACATATGAGAATGTTAGAATCAACTTTTGGTTCCCTAAAATGAGGCGATTCATACAAAAATATATTAACGCTTGCTTACATTGCTTATATCATAAAAACAATGGCGGTAAAAAACCGGGATTTTTACATTTGGGACCTTTCGTTACATCTACCATAGACAATAGATATCTTATCGTAATAGTCGACGGGTTCTCGAAGTTTACCTATCTCAAAGCGGTACCCGATACATCCTCCAACAACGTGATTCTAATGATTCAGGAATTGTTTGCAACTTTTGGAAATCCCAAAAGAATAATAACAGATCCTGGTTCTGCATTCACTTCAAAATCGTTCAGGCAATTCTTGACAGATATAAGTATTAAACATTTTACAACAGCTGTCGGGTTACCTAGAGGAAATGATCAAGTGGAAAGAACAAATCAGTACTCGATGCGCTCGCAACCACTGGCTCAGGGACTAATACAAACAATTGGGATACAAATGTAAATAAAATTCAACAAGGTCTGAATAGCACCATCCACAAAACCACACAATACACGCCCGCAGAAATTTTTTTGGTTTTAAAATGGAAACAGATACCGATTTACACGTAAATACTAGTGAAGACGAAAGCTCGCTAGATGTAACCAAAATCCGAGCAAAATCCACTAAAAGATTGGAAGATAATAGAGTAAAACAAAACACAAAATTTAACGAAAAGCGTAAACCACCCAAAATGTATCAAATTGGAGATCTGGTCCTTACGAAAGTTTCAAGCTTCCCAGCAAATAATGAGAGCAAGAAATTGTATCCAAAATATCGGGGTCCATTCCGTGTAACGGAAATTCTCCCCAACGATCGCTACAGGGTAAAGGAAGACATACACAGTATGCGATCTTCTCGTTCTTACGAGGCTGTGGTTGGTATGGAACACATGAAGCCATTCACATTTCAAAATAATTAAGGTAAGCCGTCGGTGGCATTTTCAAGCCGTCAGTAGCATGTTCAAGCCGTCAGTGGCATTTTAAAGCCGTCAGTGGCATCTTAAAGTCGTCAGTGGCATTTCAAGGCCGTCAGTGGCATCTAAAATCCGTCAGGGGCATCTTACAACCGTCAGTGGCATTTCAAAGCCGTCAGTGGCATCTAAAAGCCGTCAGGGGCATCTTACAGCAGTCAGGGGCATCTTACAGCCGTCAGGGGCATCTTAAAACCGTCAGGGGCATCTTAAATCTGTTAGGGGCATAACGAGGTCCTAAGAGGCACTTTACGTATATTTCCTTAGCTTCTTAGATTTCCGACTTAAACGTATATCTCTTTTAGGCACAAATAACAACAACATTAGTTTGAGGACAAACAACCCAAAGGATGGCCGTGCAAGGAAATATACCACTCTGTACGTTGTGTATTATTGCTGATCGACACCGGCGCGGGGATTCACCGTGACCGGCTGGAGCGTCGGCATATTCACCTACTCAGACAGTAATACTTAAACCCCCATTGAGATCGAATGTATACCTAATATATTTCACTAATAGATTAATAATTATAACGTGTAGAGTGTTATTTTCACATCCCGATCACAGTATGCCTAAAACAAGTGTACAGTTTAAAAGGTTCAATAAAACAATATTAGATGCCTTGGTCCTTAGCCGCAAGTGTAGCTAATGCTAATGTAGACGAATGATATTTTAATATAAAAAAATATGTAACTGGGTATCAATAGTATCACCAATAAAACAATATTATTATGTTCCATAATGAAACAAACAAAAAATTGTAAGAAAAATTTAACGGATTATTTTTTTAATGTACAGGAAGTTATTGGTAACGATCGGTATGTACAAGGTAAAGACTAACAATCTTTCATTTTGAAACAATACTGTAAAAATTACTTATTATGTCTGAAACATTGTATTTGAAAATTACAGAAATTATAAAAGTGTTTTTAAATTATCTATTTCTTGTTATAGTGTGTCATAATATTTGTTTATAAATATATTCACCTCTTTTCTAAAGACTTGAATGAAAAGCCGACACTATACTTTTACGACTATGTATCTGAAACTTCTAAACAAGCCAAATGTTTTAATGTTGACGATGCGTCTATAATACAAAGTCTCGAATTCGAAAACTAATGTTAATATGAGTTTTTATTATCGACTTACGTAACCAAATTAGTTCTACTGTGATTTACATAAGTAGATATTTAACAGAACCTATATACTAGGAACTTAATAACAATAACAAATAATATTATAATCTAGGTGCTCCCAACACTAACAGCAAATCAGTTTTCGCTACAGACTGGAGTTACATAAAAATGCGATGTTCTAGATGTAAATAAAAAGTAATTAAAGACGGGGGTTACAAAACTAGTGCCGTAGAACTGAGTTCAAAAAAAAAAAACACACTGACGATAAACAAGGTTTCTTAGGCTGAAAAACTCAGAAAAGCAGTTTTATAAGAATAAATACCTGTAAAACACTATCAGGTGGAAATGTTTTCAGGCATAGCACTGTAAAAAGTCTCTCAGGTGAAGATGTTTTTAGGCATAGTATTGTAGAGACCTATTTCCAGGTGGAAATGTTTTCAGGCATAGCACTGTAAAAGTCTATAAGGTGAAAATGTTTTCAAGCATAGTACTGTAGAATATTATCTCTAAAACACTATCAGATGGAAATGTTTTTAGGCATAGTACTATAAAAAGTCTATCAGGTGAAAATGTTTTCAGGAATAGCACTGTAAAAAATCTATCAGGTGAAAATGTTTTCAGGCATAGTACTTTTTACCTAGTCAACAAAAAAATTAAATAATTGGTGATAAATTATTATTTTTCCAGATATTCATATATCATATCGACGGCGATCTGACAAAAAGACGTAAGCGCCATTTTGTAAATTTTACAGGAACAAGATAATATTGTATAACTCTTAAAATAACTTTGCTTATTTTTTAAAAATTATCACTGATTATAATTATTGCCCATAGAGTGTTATTATAATAACAAAAATAAAAAAATAATAATAATATACGCAAGAAACATCATTTTTGTATCGCTTACGTCTTTTTGTAAAATTACTTGGTGGTTAAGTCTAATTATGTGGTACTTACGTATTTCTCTATGATCACAAATGTGTCCAGCTTACGCGTCTGCCGAAAATCAACACTGAGTCAAAATTGACACATAAGTGCAAGCAAATTGATGTCCTCTTTCAATAATTTAGAGCTTCATGAATAAGTAAAAGAAAAATTATTTAGTGATTTATAATATTGGATTCGATATACAAAAATGAACACAACTTTTCTATTAACTATAAAAACTTAAATTTGCAACTCCAAGCAAAAAATAACACTAACTAACCAAAACATTATTCTAATAAAAATAAAAATGTTTGTCCTAATAAGAAATAGGGCACAGCCTTGGTTTAACCTTAAACTAAGATTTTAAATTATGTTACAGCCTTTAAAATTAGTCTTCTACATCAGTCTCAGGTAAATTATCAGGTACTGAATTTTTTGTTTTTAGTGAAAAATATTCTGCATGGTACTGAGGCTCAATAGTAAAATTTCTACATAACTCTGTTAAGTTATTAAATTTCTTTTTATTTATAGGTAATTCACAGCTATAGGCTTTAGGTATCTCTGTGAGTACTGTTCTTAACTGAAATGGAACCTCAACTGGTATTTCAACTTCTGAATAGGAAGTTTTCACTTTCACATTGGGATTATTTTTTTCAAATGCCATTTAAACTATATCGGATATTTTTATATCATTATCGTGAGTGTCTTAATTTTTTAGAGGAAGTGACAGCTTTCCAGTCCAAGATTGAACAATATTTTGTAGCAATAATTTCGTATGGTGGCTTGCGAGCATTAGGTAAAATAGTAGGCCATTCCGACGGGACTTGTATGAACATTTTCTTGATCTTTTTTTCTATGATAGCATGGATGCTGTCGACTGGCATATATGTATGACCAGGTACTAAATATGTTATTGTTATATTTTTAACAACTTTAGATATACCTAAAAAATGTATCAACATAGCTATCATTTGCTTATTTTTATTCTGGCCAGGACAGTTATCACAGAAAAAATGAACGCATTCTTTGTCTCCTGTCCTGTCTAACTGCGATAAATATGCAAAAACATGGGAACAAATTTCATTAGCTACTCTTTTGCCATCCTTTTCACCCCAAAAATAACAACCACCATTTGCGCTTCCATTTTCATAAATAGTAAAATTGTAACAAGCATATTTTCGAGAAAATCCTAATAACATACTAGATCCATGAGGAGTTGTCAAAACTTTTTGCAAATAAAAACTAGCAGTAACAGTTGAGGGATCTGCGTTTTTCTGTTTTTTGTTTAAGAAATGATTTTTAGCATCATCCTTTTTTTTAAATGGTTTAAGTAATCCTCTTCTTCCTTTTCAGTTTTCAAATTTTTAGGCAAATTTTTATATCGTTTTATACCATTTTTTGAGAAAATAGTGAACCAGCAACAATGGTGTTACCAAATTCATCAAATTTTTGTTCTTCTTCAACAATGAAGTTAAATAATATTCCGTTATCTAATGCTTCATCAATTAAATTTTCATATTCATCAAGTTTATTTTCTCTACTTTTTTCCCCCAATTCCATACTTAAAATTTTTTTCCACGCTGCATTCTGAAACAAAACATTTTGCGTAAGCGCCACACTTGAACCTAATTTGAAATTAGTAATATTCAGAAAATTTAAATCTAATCGGTATTTCAAGCATTATAAATGATTTATTACAATTCTTATTTTCGCGTGATACAGTTAAATATCTTAAAAATTATGTCATAAAGACAGAAAATATCTTACAAATTCCCATTAAGACTACATAGCCTAATGGTACTCAAGCAGTTGCATTTGAATTATACGAATTGCTTAAGCGACACACTTGTTTAAGTCGATTTTTTTAATTAAAAATCATAATATTACTCTTCTAGATTTATCAGTTTAATCATAAAAACCCTATTATATATGTGTAGAAAGTGAAATAATGCTAAAAAAATTAATTAAATCGTTCGACGCCACCTATCACTTACGATCGCTTTTTATCGCATAATTTAAGGTTATGGGCGGCAAACAGGCGCTTGAGCAAATTCAAACGGGAATAACACGGATACGGTTATTTTGTCGTTTATGGGTTTAGGGGCAAACGGCGCGGCGTATTGTTTTCTATAAGAAGCATTAAAATCTTAATTTTAAATTTTTTGGCGCTTACGTGTTTTTGTCAGATCGTCGTCGATATATACCTTGAGGACGAGGTTAACATCCAGGATGACCGGATGTTAGCTTCCATTATTTAATACATAAATATTTGCTAGACCTCCCTGTAGTATTTTTGGGTGCGGTGCGTTTTTCGCTAATATTCTGCTAATATAATATTGATTAATAGTTTATTTTTATAAAGTGAATTTCTGTTACCCCTTAGCTAATATATAGCATTATAATCCGATCTTTTATTATATTTTTTGTAATAAAGATGCCTTAAGAATTTGTTTTGTATTTTCTCAAGTTCCTGTAAAGATAATAATAATAATAATAATAATAATACTCTCCCTAATTCACCCCCTTACGAGTGAATTTCAACCTCTGAAGTCGACTGAACGACTTGTGTAGGGGAAGGGACGGCTATTATTATTATTTGCCGTGGCGCTCCGGGGCGACTTAAGGATGATTGATGGTGCCATTTGACTTACAGGTGAGGAAAACCCGGAAAACCTCACCCACCATCATCGAGACGATAATGTATGGCGATTTTATAATCTGCATGTCATATCAACAGAAATTGAATTTCCATTAATACGGCACACATCAAATCCTAAACCGAACCATGCAATTTAATTAAAAATCCACATGGTCTGGTCTGGGATTCGAAGCCCAGCAGTCTCGAACTCATAAACTCGCCTATAAACGAATATAAGCGCGATAGACCGCTACACCATCGACCCGATGTATGACATTCTTCTGCCCACACAACTGAAGCAAATTGTAGTTTAGGTCATACTAATGTAAAATATATAAGTTTAATTAAATTTGTATTAGAAAAAGGATACAAATCCGAGAACATGATTAGCGGATTTAACTGTATTATCAACATGTTTTTTTAAAACGAAAATTTATTGTTATAAGTTACACCTAGATTTCTGAACTCCTGAACCCTTTCTAAAGTATCATATATCATTTGGTCATAGTCAACACAAAACATTTTTTATGTTAAAATTTAATTTAAATTTGATACTCCATTCATGAATACTATCCAAGTCTTTTTGAAGAGCCACACAATTACGAACTGCTTGTTTATATATTTTATTGTTATCTGCAAATAATATGCATTTAGAAAATGTAATACACTTCGTCATGTCATTAACAAATAATAGAAAAACAAAGGACCCAAATTTTAGCTCTGAAGTACGCCTGGGGCAGCGTGAAATTTTCCTGACGTGTTCCCATCGTATTTAACTTGAAAATATCTGTTTTCTAAATAGCTTTTAAACAAATTCATGGCACTTTTAGTGCAACCAAATTCATAAATTTTTTTCAACAAAACATCCTGATTCACACGATCAAAGGCTTTACTAAAGTCCATGTAAATTATATCGAGTTGAAGTTTATTTTCTAAAGTTTCATCTGCAGAATGACTAAATGACAATAAATTAGTATTAATTAACCGCTTACCCATAAATCCATGTTGTTGTTGGTTTACTAAACTTTCAACAAGCGAATGCAATTCAATGACATATATAGTATAATAGACTGCTCATCCATATACAAACAAGGCGACGAAAAGCGGGTCATATTGCAGTTGTTTATATTTCCTTGTCGCTCATCAGGCAGAATCGGTCTGGCTCAAATGAGTTTAGAACTCATTTCATAAAAAAAAATAATTACCTGAATGTTAATTTCAAGACTGGTACTTGCGTTAGGTTAGGAAAGAGAAATTTAAAGAAAGGTTTGGATAATTTTATTGAAAATGGGAAAGGGAAAGGCAGTTATTACTATTAATAGGTATGCCAGTTTACTCTCACCATTTTACAAAATAGGATTTCATCCATCCAGGTTTGTAATTTTTTAATAGTATTTTTATTAATAGTAATTAATATTTTTATATTTCTAATATGAATTGTTTGATCTGGTAATTTATGTTCTGTAGGTCTAAACAAGAAGAAACATATGCTTGTGTCTACTGCAGTACCTATAGTTTAAATTTGTCTAACCTAAGCCATTACATTGATAGAAAGAAAAGGAATTCAGCAAAAACAAGAGTTATGGCTACTGTCAATAATAATATAATAATCATGTTGCCAGTACTAGTAGAATGTCAAGTGTTGAGTTATCTTCTTCAGGCAATGAATATACATATGCATAATTTAAAGTGTATGAGTAATTATTATAAGCTTAATATGTTTTTGCAGTTAATGAACATATCTACTAGTGAAGCAGATAATGAAGATATGTGTGCTGCTGAAGAGCTTTGCTTAATTTACAAAAAAAATTTGTTAAGCAGAAAATTGGGATCGATTGTTCAACACAAGTGAAGAGTGGTATTTAGTTGAACCGTTTTCAAACAGAATTGTTAGTGCTAAAGAACTATCTACTTTAACAGGATTGCAATCCTTCCAGTTATTAGAAACCATTGTTTCTAAAGAATAAGAAATAGAGAACAGTTATGTTTTTGAAGGATCAAGATATATTTAATTTTATGAAGTTAAAAACTGGTATGCAAGATATATCTTATCTGTTATTGGGAGTTAATGAAACTTTTTGTCGTTTATTTTTTCAGGAGCGTTTAAAAAAACTTCAGTATGGTATAATATTTGTCCAAAAACTTTTGAAAATGCGCACATTATTGAAATTGGTCTATAATTTCGAATATCACTTTTATTGCCTGAAAGAAAATTCCGTTACTAAATTTTTTACTGCATTGCGATTTTTTGCGGTTGGGTCCTATCAACGATGTATTGGCCAAGATTTTAATTCTGGGCTTAGCCAAAAATCTGTACATAGGTGCATTAACTCTGTCACTTAAGCTTTATCACTTTTAGCCCATCAACACATATAACTTCCCTCAACTCCCCAGGAACGAAATGATATTAAATTTGAATTTATGGATAGATCAAGGTTTTCTGGGGCAATAGGAGCAGTTGATTGAATTAAAATGAGGTTTATCCTTTACATTCATGTAATTAATATAGATTAAATAAGTATAAATGATAATTCGTCATTAATGTTATTTTGTAAAATGACGTTTAAATTGAAGGAACAACATTGGAGCTTAATAACAAATTTTATGGAAAAACCAGAGAAGGCCACAGAAAAAATTCCTTGAGGCCAATGGCAGAGAAAAACGGAGAAAACTGTGGCTTGAATTAGGCCATAAATTAAATAGCCTGGGTTTAGGAGAAAGGACCCCAAGAAAAATGGAATAATGTAGGTTGTTTGTTTTTAGTTCCTTGATGTTATTTATAGTAGAAACAAGTAATCTATTTCTTTTTATTTATACTTTTCTGAATTACCTTCAAACAGTAAGACATGAAGTGGTTGGATGTTTTGGACGGGTTCTGAGGTTTGAAAGAACACACACACTGGGTATAGAACTAATATATTGCCAAACAGGACAATAAACAAACTCTACTTTCGTAAACAACGGGAATAATATAATGTTACTGCTGTCACGCTGAACCCTCACTGCTTCGCAGTTCAGACGAGACTGCTCCTTTCGATCGTCTTCCGCACACCACACGTAGCTCTCGCGCACATATCTTCGCGTCACTCTTACATAGGCACGCGTTTGAGACGGACCACCGCAGACAGTATTGGAAATTATATTAAATTCACGATTCAACTGTACCATATCAAACATCTAAAATCTTTTTACACAGAAGGTAATAAAACGATAACAATTTAATAAAATTGATACTTTTACTTTGAGATATTTCTATGTACCTACTTTAATTGTAAAATATTGTATTTTAGGGTTGGACAGACTATCTTTTAAAGAAGGCAGCTGCCATTAACAAAGATCAAATGGCTACTGGAGGAGGATATTCTAACACTGTATCTTTAAACGATTTGGAGCTAAGAATAATATCTCTACTTGGCCCATCTTTTTACAAAAGAGTTGGTAGTGAGGAAATTGCTACATTAAGTTGAAAAATTTTGCAATAATGTGTTTATAAAAATATTAATTTTTGCAGCCTAATACAAAAATAAATTCACAACCTATACCACTAATTCTATTCCGAAAAGAAGCTAATTATCAATCACTCAATACCTCAATAATTGCAAATACATCTGCAGCAAGTTGCAGTAAGAAAGATACCTTTGTTTCTACTGAACACGACTATAGGATCCATACTTCAAAAAAAGAAAAGAAAAATTTCAAACGAGGAGAAAGAGATGGAAATTTTTATAGAGAAACTTATTGTTCTTAGGGACATTAAGGTAACTATGCAAGAGGGTTTTTCATGTATCTCAAATCAGCTAGAGCGAATAGCAACAGCCACGGAACAAAATACCAATTAATAATTTAAAAATTGCTAGTCTTTGTTAAACTTTTATTTTATAATAAAAAAATATATGAAAAGAATGTATTTTATTAATTGTGA